TTCAGAGCCCCCGCGGGCCCCGTCGGGGCGGGCAGCCGGGCTTTGGCCCCCTTTGCCCTCTCGCCCTGCACGGTCAGGATCTGCAGCCACTCGAGCTGCACCAGCCGGTCCACGTACTTCCCCAGGAGCCCCCCGGCGCGCGGCGCGGCGCGGGGCCTGCGCTCCGTGTTCACAAGCACGGCCATGTCCCGCAGGTCCCAGGAGTCACAGGGCGGCGGGAGGAAGTCGGGGTAACGGTCCTGGGGCGCGGCGTGGCCCTGACCTGGCTGGAGATCGCGGTCGAAGCTGACCGGGTCGATTTCCTCGGCTCGAAGGCGGAGGTCCGGGGGCGCGCGCGGAGCAGGCGCGATGGGGACGCGCTCCGAATCGGAGAGGTCGCTGGCACTGTCCTCGTCAGCGTCTCCTCTCATGAGTCTCAGGGACTGGAAGTCCAGGAGCAGCTTGTTCCCCGAGGCCCCGCGACAGCCCAGGGGACTCCGCTCGGCTTTGCCTCCCGGGGAAATGCCTCCTCCAGGGTCGTGCCCGGCCGGCGGGGAGACGGCGCGGGGCACGCTCTTCGGCCGGCAAGGACCGTGGGGGGCCTGGGACGCACTCTGCCTTTTCCCCGAACCGTTCTTGGAACGTGGCGCTTTATTCCAAGCCGGGCCAGCATCCATGCCGCTGTGAGAAACAAAACTGCGACCCTTAGTACCTGTGACCATAACTGGCCTACCCGCCGTTGGGCGGCGCCCTCCGGCGGGAGCGCTGGGGCAGGACCGACAGCGTGTTCGCGGTCCACGTGGGGACGCTCGGGGACACCACTTAGAAGGACAGGTCGTAGGGTGTCTTGTAACAGCGTGAATGAAAAGGAGGGTTAGTCTGTGGTGAGTGGCGGGTACAGGGAACTACTGAGAGCTGAGTGCTTGTCTAGTGTGACACCAACTCTTTCTGGGGCAATTTATTCTGAGGCAGGATCTCATATCCAAACTGAAAATATTTTATTTTCCATTTATTTACCACGTACATAGCATTTTACCAAGAGTAACACCATATCTCAGTACCCTAAGTCGAATGGGGTGACACTCCATCTCAGTATCCTAAGTCACATGGGTGACACTGCATCTCCCTACCCTAAGTCACATGGGGTGACATTCCATCTCAGTACCCTAAGTCACATGGCGTGACACTCCATATTGGTACCCTAAGTCAGATGGGGTGACACTGCATCTCAGTATCCTAAGTCAGATAGGGAGACATTGCATCTCAATACTCTAAGTCGAATGGGGTGACACTCCATCTCAGTATCCTAAGTCACATGGGTGACACTGCATCTCCCTACCCTAAGTCACACGGGGTGACACTCCATCTCAGTACCCTAAGTCGGATGGGGTGACACTCCATCTTGGTACCGTAAGTCGGACGGGATGACACTGCATCTCAGTACCCTAAGTCGGATGAGGTAAGAAAAAGGGGCGTGGTGTTAAACATACTTTTCGGAAACCTCAATGTGTTACCTCTTAATTCATAAATATGGAGGATATGAAATCATTGCCAATAGCATAACACGTGCCATAAATGCTGAAGAAATGGATGAAGGAACTGCCGGCACGTAGAGCTCCACCTAACACTGTGAATGCTTTTGCTCACCTCTGGCTGTCAGGGCGCATCTGTAGAAGTTACAATCAGTATCTCTTTTTAGGTAAAAGGAAACTGACAAAGAAAGATGATTCAGGGGCTTACCCAAAATTGTAGGCTCTGCTAACAGTGCCAGAATCATGACTGCTTGAACTTTTAGCAACTAGTGATGTTTAAAACCACTTGCTCACTCATTTCTGCTAGTCAAAAAGTATTAAGTGCATGTTTCTTATCCACAAACATACTATTTCTTTTCCTAACCCCCACAGTCAATCTGGAGGCCTGAGATAACACAATTTCACAAGATAAAGCAGTTATATGAAAACTGTTTACCCGCTTTTCTGATGAGATTCATTCACCCTACTCCCTTTCTTGAAAAAATCACATGGCTGGGCATCATCTAGGGTTGGATGGACTGTCTAGAAAACAGACATGCAGTAATAAATACCGTGAACACACACAAGAAACAAACAGAAAACAGAACAAATCTAAGTAAGGTGCTCCCTCACGGGTTCCATCACCTGCTCTGTAGTGCTTGAAATGCTCCTGCTCAATCTGTCGGGAGGCGATGACAGCTGGGGAGGTGACTTCTTTATTCCTCTTATATTTGGAAAGGACGCCTTATCCTTGGAACTATAAGCAACAGAACTCTGTTAATAAGTATTTTTTAAATTCATTTTTCAATTATAGTTGACATACAATATTGTATCAGTTTCAGGTGTACAATGTAACCATTCGACATTTATATGATTTATCAAATTATTGGCCCAATAAGCCCATACATGGGTATTAGATATTGTTGACTATATTCCCTATGCTGTACTTTACATCTCAGGGACTAATTTCATAGCTGGTACTTTGTACTTCTTAATCCTTTCCCTTTTTTCACCCATCCCCCCACTCCTCTCCCATCTGGCAACCATCAATTTATTCTGTATCTATAAGTATGAAACACTTTGTTTCTAAAAATGTGGAACGCTTCACAAATTTCAGAATTTGCCTGTGATCCTTGCCCAGGGCCCACGCTAAGCTTCTTTGTATAGGTCCGAGTTTGGATATGCGCTGCTGAAGAGAGCACAGTCAGTATTTATTGCATATGGTCCTGTATCCAGAACTGGGCTGGTTTTCACTGGCTTGTGTTTAAATATTTGTACAGTATCAAAATACTGGTGGGGGAGATTGCCTTATGTTTACAATTTAATTTTTTCTTTGTTGCTTTTCACAGTGGATATTGGATACGAGGTCACACTACTATAGATGCTGCAAATGGATTCACACACACGCAGTCTCCTTGGAAATAACATATTGAGGAAATCTGTGAGGCTAAGGTCCCACATACAATCATTCATTCACAAATAATTACAGAAGTGCCTGGAAAATGGCAGGACTGTGGCCATGTCCCAGCTCTCATGGAGCTTAAACTCTACTGGGGAAGCTCCCTTTCAATTCTCACTATCACATCAAGCCATTAAAAGACTATTAATATATTAATACATATGATACTGTCTTATCTCTTTGTGAAATTGTTGACTCAGACCACAGGGTGCTGCTCTTGCCTCTTATTTTGAGTGGCCTAGAAGTGCTCCAATTTGAAAGTGAATACTTTATTTGGTAATAGCCCCCTTCCTCCATAAAATGAGAAAGAGGTGGGATTATAGATCTTTATTTTCTTTCTAGAATTTCGCTGTATTACTTTTCACAATAAGCATGTATGCTTTTTTGGTCAGTTTACATAGGATGGTAATAAAAAATCCCATATGGCTCTCACCATTAATGAATTATGCAAAAATCAACCGGCCTGATTGGTTTTAGATATACTGAATGCTCTTTACCAATCCTCTTTCATGAGTTTGGTAGAATTCCTGGCCCCAAACTGCTCCCCAGGCTTCTGCGTTTTCTGCACAAAGTCACTGAGATACGTGCCTGCAGGGCCCCAAGGATGCAGAGCACAAGCTAAGGGTTGGTTTCCCTAACGGTTCAGGCTTGCCTCGGAGCAGAGCTAAAGTCTGAAATTCTGGCTACAAAAATGCTTCCCAATAAGGCTCGCTGCATAATTCGTCCCAGGGTACTAACTCTTGTTCCCAGGTCTTCCTCTCTGGCCTGGCGCCTAGAGAGGGACAGAAGCAGCCCCGCCCCGCCCCTCAGGAACTGGCCGGCGGTCATGGGCGGCAAAGCATTGTGGGTGAGGTGCGGACAAGACGCTTCTCAGTGCAGCGAGGCTCCCTGGGTCCGGCTGAGGGTCCAGGTGGCCGTGCGTATGTCCAAGGAACTGGCCAGCCCAGAAGCTTAAAATGAGCCTGGGGACCAGCTCCTTTTGGAAAGGCCGGTTTTTGCACCCCCGCACCCTCCCTGCCCCCAGTAACCCAGAAACCCAAGGACCCGCAGCATGCATTTTCCTTTTCTTCCGTCTGTGCAGACACCGATCAATGATCGGTCGATAGGCGCGCGGGCCAGGCAGACGCAGACGGAAATTGATCAGACCTGTTTCGCGTTCGCCGAGCACACGTGACGAGGCCGCCAGCTTTCCCACCGGCGCCCGGGCGGGCAGC